CATAGTGTTTTCTTTAACTCGGGTGAATAAAATCATCCGTTAATTTGGAGTTTGTAAGAAATGCAAACATTCTACTTCTTTGGGATGAGGGTAATAGGAAATGACTATTAATGAACACATTTAATGACTATTACAGCATATAAAAGGTACCCTTAATTTTAAGAGTCTAGGGCCTTATAAACCCTAATTTTCTCTTTTAGCTCCATTTCTTCTTCCATTGATGGGGATCTCGAAGAGGCAGATCCCTGAGATTTGATGAGCAGGGTAGTTGCTTTCATATGGGAATTGGGAAATGATTCCGAGGTTAAGATTTAACGTAGAAAAACAAATGAAAAGATTGTAGTCTGTTTGCAGTGAAGAGAGCTGAGGCAGAGAACACAGAATAAGAATATGGCTTGTAGAGGACATCAGACAGAATGAGACCTAACAGCCTTCAGCAGGCTGCTGAGAATGATACCTTGCCTTTGAGAAAGAATATGATTTAATGCAGGTAACTCTCCTTTTCAGGGCTGATTACCTTTTAGGAAAAGAAACATTACTGAAAAAGGCAATGCTGTAGTAAGAGCTAACATTCTCAAACCAAGAGTGCAATATCCAAGGTTTCATACAAGTTGTTATATAACATCTAATCATCTGTGTACCAGTCAAAATGGACTAGGTTGTACTAAAGTATAACTTAGTGACATAAAAATCACAAAGATGTATTTCTTGCTCACACCACATGTGTATCTTGGGTTGGTGGGGACTGTGCTCCACATTGTCCTCATTCAGGGCACAGGCTGGTAGAATTGCCACCACCTGGAAATCTGGAATATGGCTGTCTGCCATGGCACTGGGAAGTAACAGGATTGAATGTATGTTGATTGGGAAATGCTTCTCCTTGGAAGAGAGGGATGTTACTTATACTTTATTGATCAAAGCACGTGCAGGAAAGGGCAGTCCAGCCTTGTGCCCAGAAGGAGTAGAACCAGAAATATTGGGGAACTGCCCCAACCGCAATCAAAAAGAGCAAATGTTTCCAAATATTACTGATACCAAGATTTTTTCAAAATATTTTAATTATGTTGATAATTTTGCCAGTTCATTTCTTTTAAAAAATATTTTTATTTATTTTTAAGAGGGGGAGTGGGAAAGAGTGAGTGGGGGAGTGGCAGGGATGCAGCGGATCCCAAGGAGGTTCCACGCTGGCAGCAGAGAGCCCACTGCGGGCCTCAAACTCTAGAACTGGGAGATCATGATCTGAGCCGAAGCAAATGCTTAACTGACTGAGCCACCCAGGAGCTCCAAGATTTTTAGAGTAATAAATTAGTTAAGGAAAAATGGACCTAGTGACTAATCATAAAAATTTATTTAATGAGTCATTGGGTCATGGCTACCATTTTTGATTGGTAACCATACAACAGTCACTCTAAGAACCTGATACACTGCTTTCCTAAAATATTTCTTAACTGCAATTTATCACTAAGGAAAATTTATTTCCTTTGTAAAGGTATTAGTTCAATAGATTTTAGTTTGAGATACACAAAATTATATGATATAGTCCTTAGCTCAGGAACAACAACGCTTCATCTGGCCTTAAAGCTCATGTGCTCATCTACTGCTCTGCTAGCTTGCAGCAAACCAGGGCAGGACATGATCCCTGAGCACTGGGTCCGTGGGTGGTTCAGGAGGCAGTGATGCAGAGAGAGCTGGAGCAGCTGGAGCAGCGGGCTCCCGGGGGGAAGAGTGAGGGATCTTGGCACTCGACGGTAGTCGTGCTCATAATCTTACCAGAACACAGGAGTGTTTTAAAATTAGTGTTTTTCTGTGCCTTTGCTACAGAAGTTCAGTTATTGTTTTTCCTGGGCCTGGGAGGAGAGCTCTGAGTGAGGCTGGGAGCCAGGGATGTCCCAGAACATGAAGATCAGAGCTCTTCCTGGAAAGGAACCTTTGCTGGGCAGAGCAGCCTCCTGATGCCCGGATGTGGTGCGGCCAAGGGTGGGGTGGGCTTTTATGAGCCAGCATGCTGAGCAAACGAACAGGCCGGGCAATCCTGTTAGCCCTCCCCTGCTAAGTGCTGCAAAAGTCAGAACAGGGGTGTAAATGGCACGGGCTGTAGAGATTCTTGTAAATTGAAGACTGCCTCTAATTTGATTAAGGTACAGACAGCTAGCTAATGGACCTTTATAGGAGTGCTTAAAGCAAATCAGCAAGCCTGGGAGATGGTACTTGGGGGAAAATTAAAAGGCAAGTATGGTAAAATTGCCACGCAGTCAGATGCAGCTGTCCATTATTCACTGTTTCTAACTTATAAAGGTCTATATCATTTATATATCAGGTATACATAATTTATATACAGGAATAATGTCAGACCAACTAATTTTGGAATTTGTAACAGTAAAAATCTTATTCTTAAAATTGACTTGAAGCAGTGCCAGGTACTATGCCGAGTGCAGGTCTGACCCTACAACAATCCTATAAGGCAGATATTATTATTCCATTTTATAGGTAAACAGCTGAAGCCTAAAGAGATGAAGTCATTTTCTCAAAGTAGCATGGCCGGAAAGTGGTGGTGCCCAGCCTCAGGCATCTGCTTTCCTTTGAAATACACGGACATGGGTGATTACATGCAGTGGATCAATTCTTTCAAGGTGAAGAATTGTATCTTAAAGTTGGTACCCTACATTCTCTAAACTACCTTTCCCAAATTAACAGTGATATGCAGAAACAGAAAGCAGTGTTTTCTCTCAGATGTTTCACCCATGAATAGGTCCTGCATGCTTATTAGGTCCATATTATCTTCACATCATATTGCCCTTTGGGAGTAGAAACCAGAGCCACACAATTGCTTCAATCCCATTATTCTTGGTGCGGTGCCCTTTGGCTAATGGCTGATTTTATGGTGTAAGTTTTTTCATGGTTAGGCATTTTATGGAGCTCGTTAACTGATAATATATGCCCAAGATTTTAATGAGAATCTTTGTTTTGGCATCTTGCTATCAAATAAGTTGTTTACAGTTTGTTGTGACTTATGCCAAAAATGACTAGAATTATTTAACTCTATTTTTTTAACTTTGAAATATGGAAAAGAGAAGCATGCAGGCATCTGGACCAAAACGCCAGAGGGAAGACAACTAAAATCCTCACAATTGAAGGGTAGGATTTTATTGTTTTCAGGCAAGTAAAGGGTATACATTGATTTAAAATTTTTAAAAAGTTTATGTATTTGTTTTGAAGGAGAGAGAGAGAGAGAGAGCGAGCACAAGCAGGGGAGGTGCAGAGAGAGAGGGAGAGAGATCATCCCAAGCAGGCTCTGCACAGTGCAGAGCCTGTCGTCGAGCTTGAAGCCACGAATCATGAGATCATGACCTGAGCTGAAATCAAGAGTCAGATGCTTAACTAACGGAGCCACCCAGGATCCCCTAAAGGATATACGTTTAACATAGATGTTATATTGATAAAGTCCAAGATTTACAAAATGAAAAAATCAATGCAATGTACAGTAATTAGCTAGAGAGCTTGTGGGAAGTAATGGGGAGCACATGGGATAAAGTCTGCCAGGTTGACTTGAGTTCACGTCCAGGCTCTGTCACTAATAGATATGTCACCAGTAGCAATCCAAATAATCATTTTGAAACTTAGAAATTTATTACATGGAGTTTGTAATTTTTAACTTGTAGTGTTGTTCTGAGGATCAAATGTGTGTGAAACATCAAGACCTGAGCAGGCACTCAGTAAACAGTAATTTCAGTTACTGTCATCGTTGAAGCTCAACGTTTGGACTATTTTGAGAAGTCAAAGAATCTCATCAAGATACTGTTTTCTGTTTTTCTGGAGAATACCTTGTGACTAATTGAAGAACCTTACAGTGTCTGCCAACCTTATGACAAGATTTCAAATTTCTGGTCCTACTAAGTGCTCAGACAGAGTCCCTCTCCCTTGTCGTTGTATTACATGCAGGTGTAATGTATGCATGCAGACCCATGATCACCATTTTTCTTCCTCACATGTTTCTGCCCAAATTAGAAATCAGAGTAGGGAAGGAGGGGAAATGCAGATTTGGTGTTATCACAGCGGATCAGGTGTGCGTCACTTGCCTGGGGTCACTGGGCCTTAATAGTCAACCAGGGTCCTGTTTGAGAGGCTCCCGGCTACCTTTTGTCTGCTTCCTAAAAGTCAGCACTTACAGTAGCCGAACGTCTATGTTCTATCTATGGTTCATTTTTGTGAGAACTGACACAAACTTTTAACTCTTTTGATTAAAGTTGAACATATTTGTTATTTGTGTTTGAATAACTTAAGGGTAACAGTAATTCGTCATTAAAACGGGTCCTAGTGAAGAGAGAGAAGATCCACGAGCCAGAACAGAATCCAGAAAGAAATCCAATTATATGATAAAGGCGGAACTGGCTTCATTCAGTGAAGGAGTTACACACAGGAAGCAGCTTTGATTGTTCTCCCAATATTTCATCCAAACAGGCTCAGTCCCCTCTTTACTGGCCCCGATTTGATCTCAAGTCATCCAGTCACTTTTTGTCACTCTCATGTAACCAAATGGCCTCATTTTCAGGCATTAAAATACCTGGGGTGCCTGACTGGCTCACTCCGTAGAAGATGCGACTCTTGATCTCAGGGTGGTGAGTTTGAGCCACACATGGGGTGGCTTTAAGTTCACTTAAAAAAATAAAATAAAAATAAAAGTCTGGTCCGGGTATATAAAAACTTTATTCTGATACCCAGTTTAAAGGCTTTGTCTTCTTTCAGCTCAGGTCTGACTTATGGTTGAGTCCAGAATGAGCAGGGAGCGGGGAAGAGGGTGGCCTGTTCTTTCACTTTTCTTGCCCCATATTCTGCCACTTTTACATCTGCCAGGGTTATGGGAGAGAGAGGATAATGAGTGATATTGTTTTTGGTACTTTCCTCGTATCAGATGCCCTTTTCATTTCAAGTATTCAGATGCTGTCTCTTTGTGAGGTCACAAGAGTTCTTTCCAGATTCCATGTGGAATTTCTCCAGTGACTCTCAGAGTTTCTCTCAGCGCCGAGCTTTTGCCCCAGGCAGCGCCATTCCAGTCATTTCCTGTTAGGCCTTTTGGCCCCTGCAGTTAGCAGCTTTCTTGGGGAATACCTGTCAAGTCAAGATGGCAGAAGTCCTAGCTAACTGCTTGAACCTACTTTCATCGGTGTCATCGTGAAGAGATCATCGTGAAGAGGTTGTTATCTCCTCAGCGAGGTAAAATTTGCAATCCTCTCCATAGTGGTTCTCTTGGGTCCCGCCTTTTCCTATATGGCTTGAGGGAGAGAAAATCTCACAGAGCAGTCTCCTCCTGAAATTCTCTTCCAAGAAACAGTCTTCCTAATGAAACGATAGGCTTCTTGTATATGTTCCCTGGTTTGTGGCCTTTTAATTCTTGTAAAGATGATGGATCTGTTAGTTGGCTTTAGAATATTTGTGGACATTGCTGACCTGCTGCCTCAGTTTGGGACTTAGGTTTAAATTCTGAGCCAAAATAAAGAGTTTCATTTCACCTTTTTTCAAATGTACTAATCAAATATATTGGAGAAAATTCTTTCTAAATGGTATTGGTATTTCCTGCTAAGTGGTTGGAACAAATATACTTTATTTTATTTTTTTTTAAATGTTTTATTTATTTCTAGGAGAGAGAGAGAGAGAGACAGCGTGAGCAGGAGAGGGTCAGAGAGAGAGGGAGTCACAGATTGAAACAGGCTCCAGGCTCTGAGCTGGCAGTCAGCACAGAGCCCGACGCGGGGCTCGAACCCACAAACTGCGAGATCATGACCTAAGTGAAAGTCGGACGCTTAACCGACTAAGCCACCCAGGCGTCCCGGAACAAATATACTTTAATCTCTATTTTCATACCACACACAAAAACAAATTTGAGTTGGATTAAAGATTAAAATACTGGATAAAGTTGATGAAAGTACTAGAAAAAAAAAAAGAGGTATTGTCGTCTTGGTCTGGGAAAGGCCTTTCTAAATTTCATGCCAAAGCTAAGAAAACTTAAGGGAAAAGAGTGCTCAAGTGGGATATGTAAAAACTTCTGTATAGTGTGCACCATTAACAGTTAAAAGACAAATTATACAATGGAGAAATACTCTGCAAAAGAGTGAATATTCTCAATATATAAAGAGATGTCATTAAGAAAATATAAATATGGGGCTGCCTGGGTGGATCACGTGGTTAAGCATCTGACTCCTGGTTTCAGCTCAGGTAATGATCTCTGCGAGTTCAAGCCCCATGTTGGGCTCTGTGCTGACAGTGAGGAGCTGCTTGGGATTCTGTCTCTTCTCTCTCTCTGCCCCTCCCTTGCTTGTGTGCTCTGTCTCTCTCTCTCAAAATAAATAAACTTAAGAAAAATATAAATATGATAGAAAAATGAGCAAGGCTAGGGATAGACAGCTCAATATACAAGAAATGCTCTTGATCAATAAACAACTATAATTACATGTTCTCACAGATAACTTTCTGTTTGGTAAAAATTCTTACAAATTTTTATCAGATCTTCACTCTAATATTCTTTAAGTCACTAACTCCCCATCTGCCACCATTTTGAAGATCAGGGACCTAGAGGCGCCTGAGTGGCTCAGTTGGTTAAGTGTCCATCCAACTTTGGTGCAGGTCATGATCTTGCAGTTGGTGAGTTCAAGCCCCTTGTTGGGCTCTGTGCTGACAGCTTGGAGCTTGGAGCCTGGAACCTGCTTTGTATTCTGTGTCTCCCTCTCTCTCTGCCCCTATCCCCCTCATACTCTGTCTCTGTCAAAAAATAAACATTAAAAAAGTTAAAGAAAAAAAATGATCAGGGACCTAATCTCTGGGTTTTTGTTGTTGTTGTTGTTGTTGTTGTTCTTCTTCTTCTTCTTTCTGACATGTATCTGGTGACTGGTCCCAGTAGATTCTCAAATGGTTATTGAATAAATGTATATATGAATGAAAGAATTAATAGAAAGTAAATCAAAACAATTACTTATAATATTACCTATTGAATTGAAAAGATTAAAAACTGAAACTACCCAGCGTGGATAAAATAGTCTATTCTCAATTTTGGAGGTGTAAATGAGCACAATATTTCTGCAGGAAAAGTTGACAATTTGCATCAGATTTTGAAAGGTGTACCCCTTAAAAAATAAAATGTGTACCTTTTCAATCAAGTAATTCCACAATTTGGAATTTACCCTAAGAAAATTATTACATAAGTGCACAAAGATACATGCATGTGGTGGTTTATCGAAGTTTTGTTTATATTAGGGAAAAGTTATTAGCAAGTGAAATGTCTACTAATAAATAGAAAGTTGATATATTGTAGTGTCTCCAAACAGCCAAATATTATGCAGTCACTAAAAATGGTGTTATAGATCTATGAATCTTGACATGAAGAAAGTGATACAGTTGGGAAAAATAAAATTATAAAGAAGTATGGATAGTATAATTCTACAAGGCTATTCACCAAAATATTGAGAGTACTTAAGTCTTGGGTCATATTATGGGTCATTTTGCTTACTTTTTATGCCTTTGTTTATTTTCTGAACTTTTTATACTGAACATGGGTTACTTTGATAACCAGCTTTTACAAGATAGCTTTTGAAAAGGTCATAATTTACTTTTATAATATCATTTAATGAATCAAAGAAAAGAAAACAGATGAAGTAATATCTTTGTAAATTTCCAGTTTGCTTTCCTGAGTTTTTCTTAACTCTTGTTACTGCCACCTAGTGGATAAGTGTTAGTTTACTTGTTAGCTATTTCAGATCATAGCTTGTTTTTATTTTCCCTAAAGACAGTTCTTTCTACTTAAAATCTTAAAAAAAATAAACAGGGAAGTGTAGTAAATGTTTAGCAACTATCTCTCCAAAAAACCAAAATGGGTGCACATATACACACAAACACACATTTTTAGTGAATTTTACCAATATAAAGGATACACACAATTTATGTAAAAGTTAACATACAATTTACAAGTAATAATAAAGGTAGAAATACTCTTTATTTAAATTACATATATCTAATTGACTATCAGAAAATGCTTTCACTGATTTTTGCTGAACCCATGTTTTGCTGTCTCCAACCTTTGGTTGCAGTAAAACCATCAATTGACACATGGAGTTATATTCCAATCCACCAACTCTTTTCCCAATTATCATTAAATATTATGTATGATCTACTGTATAACTGCGTCTCACCCTTCTACAAATTGTATTCATTGAACTAAGACCTCAGTTTTAGCCCTAAATCAAGCCCTTATGTGTAGCACTTGTAAATTTTGGTTGTCTAAATGTTCCTACCATGGTCCATTTTAGTCTGCCAATGTGACATCACTGCACATGGATTTGGGAACAGACTCATAGTAGCACACCAGTATATCTAGTATTTTCACATACAGATGTGATAGAACCTCAAAAACATCAGTAACAGTGAAATATAGTAAATGTAGCATAATAAATAGCAAGTGATGAGTTTTAAATGTATATTTATCTTTATTTTTAATGTAATTTATTTAATTATAAGTTTATATAACTTAAATAACAGTTAAAAACAGGCTTGCAAAGTTCTTGAAAATTTAACACTTGGCTCTTGTAAGCCTGTGTGAGTCAGCTCCAGTACATCCTTGAATGTAGCGGTCATCTTTATTTTCCGAGTTATCTTTATTGTTCTAGGAAAACTGCAGAACCATGATAGAGCACCATTCTTTGAGTTTCTAATTTGTATTCATACGGCATACGATGGCGTGTTTTATTGTTATCTGCCATTAGTGCATGTTAAGGAGGAGTAATCGCTCCCTTAATATGCACTAATTATGGAGATTCTTCTTCTTTAACGTGTGTTTTAAGCCTTTGAGCGTCTTGTAAAAAAAAGGAAGAAAGTATAAAAGATACATGAAAAGTTCTCAATTACGTACTGAAGTTAGTACTATACAGATATAATTATCTAAACTAAAATATCTCTTGGAAATACTTTAATAATATAATCTTTTTACTTTCAAATTGCTTCTCCAAGTTGTCGCACTTAACCCTCTTAACAAACCTATTAAAGGGAGTATTATTCCTCTGATTTTACATGTTGGGAAATGGGGATGGAGAGAGGTAAAGGGGCTTGACCAAGGTCAGGACAGATTAGGAGAGCTATAACTGTAATTTTTTAAATTAAATTTTTTAAATTTTTAAATTTTTTAAATTTTTTAAATTTATTTTTTTTTGAGAGAGAGTATGAGTGGGGGAGGGGCAGAGAGAGGGAGACACAGAATCCACAGCCATCTCCAGGTTCTGAGCTGCCAGCACAGAGCCCGACAGGGGGCTCAAACCCACAAACCATGAGATCATGACCTTAGCCAAAGTTGGACACCCAACTGACTGAGCCACCCAGGTGCCCCAGGAGAGCTATGATTATAAAGATGATAAGACAGCAACAATATCACAACAGAAAGGGTGGCTGAGCACTGAAAATATGCTAAACAATATTCTAAATACATTGCAGGTAGTCTTTCATTTAATCCTCTCAAGAGCTGTATAAATATCCATGTTTCAAGTAAAGAAACCAGAACAGAGAGGTAGAGCAATTTGCCCAGGATTATAAATGAAGTGAGGAACATGGGGTTCACAGCCAGGTGTGTGTGACCCCAGAACTGAAATCTAAGAGATGCTATTAATGAGGTGCCTGGGTGGCTCAGCTGGTTAATTGTCCAACTTTGGCTCAGGTCATCATCTCATGGTCCGTGAGTTTGAGCCCTCCGTCAGGCTCTGTGCTGACAGCTCAGAGCCTGGAGTCTGCTTCACATTCTGTGTCTCCCCCTCTCTCTGCCCCTCCCATGTTCGTGCTGTCTCTCTCTGTCTCTCAAAAAGTAAATAAGCATTAAAAATTAAAAAAAAAAGATGCTGTGATCTCCCGCCCCCATTCTTTACCTGTCCACTGCATATGTAGGTAAAGAACTAGAAATGCAGTTTCATATCTATCCATTTCTCAGGGAGGCATACTTTATTATAGCTTAAATATTGCAAAAATAGTTTCAGAAAAATATCATTAAATACCATCCTTCTCTTTAAAAAAATTTTTTTAATGCTTATTTATTTCTGAGACAGAAAGAGACAGAGCATGAGCAGGGGTGGGGCGGAGAGAGAGGGAGACACAGAATCTGAAACAGGCTCTGAGCTGTCAGCACGGAGCCTGATGTGGGGCTCGAATTCACAAACCGCCAGATCATGACCTGAGCCAAAGTCCGA